TTCATAACTTTTAATCATAACTGTCGGGAGTGTTTGTCACTTCCCGTATCATCTACATATATCAGCATGTTTGTTGGGAATGGCTACCACTTCCCATGATAAAATAACAAAATGCCTAGTCTGGTCAGGGTGAGAATGGTTATCACTTCTCACAGTACAAAAATGTCATGTAACGCCTACGGAGAGTGTCTATCACTTCTCACTGTACATAAATAAATATATATATATTTTTTTTTACCCACCTAGGTGAGAGTGGCTACCACTTCTCACAATACAAAAAGTATCCTATACAAAAGGTAAGATATGCTGCAGGTGACGCCATCAGTCAGATGATAATCCAGACTCAGGCTCCGCGTCTCCATCTGAGAACCCCTCATCGCCGAACATCTCATCTTCCGAGGGATCCTCCTCCTCTGTATACTCATCATCGCTCGCGATGATGACATGCTCTGGTACTTCATCATCATAGTCCTCAGACATGTAGTCTATTGGCTCATCATAGTCTTCATCATTATCTGCATGATATCCCGGTACTGCATCCTGCTCCGGCTGGGCTATGACTGCTGCTGCTGCGGCATTAGCCTGGAGTTGTTGTTGGACATGGTGTAGCTCCTCCTCGCCATTTATTATTTCTTCCAGGAACTGCTGGATGTGATAGTATTGTCCAGGGTAAGGAACTAAGTCCTGGACGTCCTGGGGTACCCCCCTCCAGATCAAATCCCTAACCTCTGAAAACAGGATCTGGGTAGGTATGTGGGCAGCATGGAGTCTCGAAAATGCTGGCAGTAATGAGCCATGGACTCTCCCTCATAAGAATCCCATATGGCTTCTAAAGCCTCATATTGTCTTCTCTGCATATCATCCCAGATGTGAGGATCTCTCTGCACTCCTGGAGCATGAACTTCAATAGCACCATACAATATCGGCCCATACTCGGCTCAGATCTCCTGCTTGAACTCTCCCCAACTAGGGGGTTGGTGTTCAGCTCCCATCCCGAGCCACCAGGCGAGAGCGTGTCCTTCTAACTTTGAGGCGGCCAATCGGACCCTCATCCGCTCAGGAATGTGACAAACGTCATATGCTATCTCTATAACGTTGATCCACTCCATTAATAGGTACGGTTG